GGACTCACACAAAAGGTCACTTTGACAGTGAAAAATATGGATATAAGTGGTTACAACCTTTTTAGATGCGACAAAAAAACAGGCAAACAAGGGGGGGTGGCATTGTTGTCTAAGGAGTCCTTATCTGCATACGGAGTTGATGAACTCACAATTGTGGTTAGTTGAAGTTCATCAATAAAGATCGAGAAACCATAACATAGTCATTGTGGTTGGTATATCAACGCCACCAGATGCAACCCTCACAAACTGAGCAAGGAACAGATACTGAAATTCGTTTACTGTTTGGGGGGATAAACTTCAAGTCCATTCCCCAAAATCTTATGCTTGGTGGATTTCATCCTAAGGCATACAAAATGGACTGTATGTAGCAAAATAAATGTTATAGCTGAAACAATCCACGGAGGTAGCGAACAGGATGAAAGGTCACACACCTCATGAGTTAATAAGTCTCTGCGAAAACCACACCTTAAGCCAGCTGTTTGTGGAGCAACCAAGATAGAAAACAACTCTTGGACCTTTATCTTTCACAAATAATGAGGGAACTGTTAAGTGACATAAGAATATCAAAAACAACATAATTAGATCACAATCTAATCGAAGTGTCCTGAAGTACATGCATTGGGGGGTCTGTACAGCAGAAATGCATTGTACCTGTGAAGGTGTCTTCACAAAATACATTTAAAACAACAAGAACATCAACTCGGGGACCAGGTTAACCTTGTCTAAACGAATCTTGTGGGAAGATGTATTTAATATTGAACATGGAATACAAAAACCAGTGCCTGATAGGATCAATTCCTGGTAGCAGAAGCATGTTTATAGCGCATTTTCACCTTAAGATATGACAGAAGTGCACGCGAGGTAAACTGAGAGAAAAAGACGCTACCTCTACAGAAGAAGACGACGAAGAGTCTACTGAGCTCCTCAGGAGTGCTTAGAATTTTTGATACTCGATAAGGGAGGCGCTGTCCAGGGAAGTGGAGAAACTATCGGGATCTTAAGCTAAATGTCCTCTCTTCAGGAACCAGGAGAAGAGGAAGGAGGAGCTTAATCAAAGCTATTAGTTGATAATTGAAAGAAATTCAAAATATTTCTTTCCAATATGCAATAAACAAGGCAAAATACCACATTAGTTATCGGGGCCACTTACTCAGGAAGGATGGGACTTACACAGTTAGACACAAACAAGGAAATGATAGGAAAAATATTGAATTTCCCAGTAGGACCTCTGCACTGTTTTTAGTGAACCACTAATCGGGGGTCTGGAGGATCGACGACCCAAATGATTTCTTCAAGAATGAGCCTCAAAATCCTTATATGTATGCCAGATTTCCGACATTACCATAACTCGATAGATTTCGAAAAACGCCATTGACATCAGCCTATGGCAATCAAGGGGGGGAGCACCCCCGGGGCCCAGTCTCATGGAACTCTGTTTTAATTAAGAACTGCCAAGAAAAAACCCATCTCGCGTACCCTAAAGTACACTATGGAGGAGGCGCTTGGGACATGGGTTTTATGAAAATTCCACAGTCACTTTAAAACCAACGGTATAGCCACCCACTCAGAAAAGGTCGGCAGCAAAGCATTAGCCCAAGAACTATGACCAATAGCCGGGACGTCCAAAATCATAAAATCTTTGAATAAGAGTGCTTAAAGTAGCAGAGATTGCAAATCACCTGGATTCCCAAAATATGCCACAATCCAGGGCAACATGGGTTCAGGGCAGGTCGCTCATGCTCTACCACAACTACTGGATCACTATGTACTGGCCTTGGAATGCATGGAAAGAAAAATCAGACTTTGCATAAGCATTCGAAACAAATGCGATCATGGCGTAATAGCCAATTATATAACGTGCTATAAATGGAAATACTGGGAATGTGGGGAGATGGATATTCAATCACTTTTTAACAAAGTTGTACACTAAGGTAGTGGTCAACATTGTGTTAAATCGGAGGCTGACCTTAGTGAAGAGATCTGTTCCACATGGCACAGTAGTTCTCGCCCCCATTCTTTTATTCATTATCATCATACAGGACCTTAAACTGAGTATATTACCCCCCACACTACAAGCAACACCGTATCATCCTTTGCGGATGATATAAGGATAGGCATGAGGGCTGTATCTGCTGACGGACGCGGTTGTTAACTCCAAGATAGTTTTATAACTTAGTTTTACCAAGTGGGGCTAAGGTGTAATTCATTATGATGTGTTCATTGAGGTCTTATTCAAACTACTCCGTTATGGGGAAAAATGGTGGTTAGTGGATTTTAAAACTAGAGACAGTGTTTTACTAATGAATACGGCATTAAAATTGACGGTTTTATAAGTGAATCATATTATTGTAAGGGACCTGGGAGTATAATGTCTGTAGGATATCACTTTAAAGGATCACACAGTGCCTAGTTGCACGTGCAAAGAAAATGTTAGGATGGATAATGAGAACTTTCACAAAAAGAGAAGATGCCAAAGCATGAGATACTTTTAATATAACTTGTTCTATCTAGGCTGGAATACTGCTGTAAATTAAACATCTCCATTCCAAAGCAGGTGAAATCGAAAAGAACCTAGAGAGTGTAAAGAGATCCTTTACAGCACGTTATAAGTTCTGTCAAGCCCCTTAACTTAACTGGGAAAGCGTGGAATGGCATTGACTTGTTACTCGTTGGAATGAGGAGGGAAGAGAGTAATATCTAATCTCACTTGGAAAATTTGGAAGGAATGGTCCCAAATATGCACACAGAGAATTTAACTCCCTACGAAAGTTAAAAGAAATGGGAGCAGGCGATGCAAAATGCCCCCAATAAAAAAGTAGGGGCACCATTGGTATACACTAAGGTAAACACCATAAGTGTCCGGGGGGCCCCAAAAACTGTTCAACAGCTCCCTATCTAGGCATTAGGGGAAATTGCCAATTAAATCCCCTTGGCTGCCTTAATGAGAAGAGCTGGACATGATACCTAAAGTTCTGTGCCCGGATCGCGGGCTGTGGCTCGTACGTTGGAATGCGTGCGGCCAGCAGTACAGACTAGTTGATAAGGCCTGATCCCATGGAAGGGCCTGGTCATGGACCTGGGCCAGCCGGGGGGAGTGTTGTTGGATCCCCGGGGGTATTACATACTGGTATAACTGTTATCTGCTAGTTAAGCATTCATAGAAACTCAAATAGTTATATTTGGCAAATCAAAATTATAATGAAAAATATTAATCCACCATATATTTTAATTACTAATCCTAAGTAGCAACTCAGAAGGGAAAATACTAACTGGATACTTTATACTGGCATTTTCTATTGTTATTTTCTATTGTAATTTTCACAGAGGAGTGTATCAGTGGTAGCACAGCTTGCCTGACTTTATATTTACAGGTATAGCCTATCAGTGGGGGTTTTATTGTTATATATTTGACTTTAATGTCACTAAAATAATTTTCCTGTTTCTAGAACTGTTAAGAAATTTCTAAAAACAGTATAGAAGTTTGAAGGACAATCCAAATTCTGGTATATATAAAAAGCTTTATGAGAAAAATCAACATATTGCCATTATATCTGTTTCAGAAATTCAGGATTAATTATGTCACACAAGAAAAGCGATACTACCATAAAGAAGAACAACGATATCTGGACCAATAATCTGGTGGGATTCTAGAAGTCACACAGGAAAAGAATTGTGTCATTAGAAGAATCTTCTAGAAGAAAAATGGAGAATACCTCTCCAAACCCAAATCATTGGACAGTACCAGTTTCTTGGAGAAGAAACCAAAGGAAGAAAGGAGTGAATAGTGAAAATTTCCAAAGAAGTTACAAAATTATGGAGAAATAAATTGAACTGTCCATATGTGTCAGATCAAGTAATACGAGCAAAGCTTGACAAGGTGATGAAGACTTGTGATCAATGTGTCAGGAGGGGAAAATATGATGCCCTGAATGAACTTTTTGATATCACAAAAGTAAATGGCCAGTAGATAGTCATCTAACACAGTAGTTACATTCGTGAAAATGCCAAGTTAGACAAAAAGCTATGCAAGACAAAAAAACCATGTTAGACGAACTGAAGAACTTGTGAAAAAAAATGGGTTACATTCCTGGGAGCCCCCAAAAAGCCAAACTACTTTTTTTAGACCTCCAGATCTTACAAAATAAAAGTGAATACATGTATTTAATTGTAGTGCATTGTCGTGATATATTACTGCTTAAGACTACAAATGCAATAGATATAATAGTATTTACTTTAAATTGTGGGTAATGGTGTCACTCAGCCAAGTCAGCAAGTCACTCAGCCAAGTCAGCAAGTCACTCAGCCAAGTCAGGAAGTCATTCAGCCAAGTCAGTAAGTCATTCAGCCAAATCAATGCCATGATTGCTCGGCAGATTCAACATATGGCAATGAAAATAAGAAAATATGTATGTAAATAAATACAGTAAGTGGGTAAGCCATTCAGCCAAGTCAGTAAGCCATTCGGTCAAGTCATCAGTAAGCCATTCGGTCAAGTCATCAGTAAGTCATTCAGCCAAGTCATCAGTAAGTCATTCAGCCAAGTCATCAGTAAGTCATTCAGCCAAGTCATCAGTAAGTCATTCAGCCAAGTCATCAGTAAGTCATTCAGCCAAATCGGTAAGTCATTCAGCAAGTCGGTAAGTCATTCAGCCAAGTCGGTAAGTTCATTCATGCCAAGTCGGTTTAAGTCATTCAGCCAAGCGGTAAGTCGTTCAGCCAAGTCGGTAAGTCATTCAGCCAAGTCGGTAAGTCATTCAGCCAAGTCGGTAAGTCATTCAGCCAAGTCGGTAAGTCATTCAGCCAAGTCGGTAAGTCATTCAGCCAAGTCAATGCCTATGATTGCTCGGCAGATTTAACATACGGCAATGAAAATAAGAAAATATGTATGTAAATAAATACATCGAGCTTCCCGAGTAATACCGTCGTCTCATACAAGCATAAGAGCCAAACTGAAGATGCTGGGAGGGTGGTGTGGCGTGGCTGAGAGAGCAGGGGACGGCATGGCGGTAGGTCTCTCCCGTTGACACACATGATGTAACCCACACACCATCCCGCCCGGCAGTAGCTCAACCCCCCCCCCCCCCCCCGCAACCGTGTTAAACTAATTTTACGAAGCATTAAACAAAAATATGCCGCAATTCTTCAATCGTGTTATATCCAAAAAAACGTTCAAGACAAAACCGTATTAAACGACGGTCTACTGTATATATATTAAATTTCAATATATGTATACCTTTTTTTTTTTTAACCTTTCCTTGATAGCTACAACAGAAACACACAGGCATAACACAAAACACAACCCTCTGACATCCTTCATGTCCAACTCAACCTAAGCAAATATTCAACGGACCTAATTGACCCTAAGAGCTGCAATTCATTGCCTGAAGCATCGAAAGGCCCCTTCATCTGCTTATCGATTCAGATTATTTTTAAAAAGCACCTAATCTCCTTAACAAAGAACCACAATAACTTGTCGAAAAAAATAGCTTATCCAATTCTGTCTATTCTTTCAGAAATTTCCCAAAATCCAAATCTCACTAACATTTAGCTTTAAGTTATTTTGGGCTGAAAGACCATACTAGCGGATGCTTTAGTGCTACCAATGTTTTATTGCATGTAAATTTTGTTATCTGCACCGCATAAAGAAATAAAAATTGTATTGTACTGAAATGATGGCGCTAGGTTTAACAGTTTTGTCTTTAAATTGTGAAATTGATCATGATCTTCCTCTTGCTTAAATCAAATTTGAATGTCTCACTTTCCCACAATGCTTTTTAAACCCCCAAAGGGGTTTTTGCATTTTTATGGATTAAAAAGTTTAAAATTTTAAAAACAGCATAAATCTTCAATAGCTAAAATCTTAAAGGAGGAATGTTACAAGGGTTAAGGCAGAGTAGGCAAATTTTTGTTGGTTCTGTGCAATAACTGAAAAAACCCATCTTTATAGCTCTGTTAGGTTGTGTAAGTAATCATTACACTTTTTTATTAATCAAAACTGGTTTTTGTGAAAAAAATTGGAGAAAGTCCTTCTGACCCTAAAATTTCCTTTTTGGGGTTTTTTTGGTAAACAGTTTAATGCCTTGATGGTAACTCTTTGCCTAAAAATTTAATTTTTAAAACTTTTATGTTAAGTAACTAGGTTTACATGAAACTTTCTTCAAGTTGGTCAAAGCTCAGGGGAAATTTTTGGACTGATGTTACCCGGGGAAGGTTCGTTTTTCTTTTTTGGATCAAAAAAAAAACCGCACATAGGAGTAAGGAGTTTTGAGGACATTCAGTCTGACCTGGACCATTTACAAAAACACACTAACCAAGAGGGAGCCGTAACATAAAGAAAGCGGACGGGAAGGGGAAAAAAAGGGGAAAGGAAAAAAGCAGCGGCGACGCAGGGGTAGATAAAGTAGGGAGTAGTTTTAGGGGGATAGATAGAAATGGGAGTAAAGGGGAGCAAGAGAAGGGTTGTAGCAAAAGTTGTGGGAAATGGTGGGTGGTGTAGAAAAGGAAAGGGGGGGTCAGTCAAAAACAAGAAAAAGGGGCCCTGCGGGAAGCTAAGGGCCAAAAGGGGTAGGACCAAAAAAACCCCGGGATGGGGGAACTGAAGGACAGAACACCCTTAACCCTTTCAGGGCCCACGGGCCCCTCTCAGAGATTGTTCCGGGTCCCCCAAAAATTTAAAAAAAAATTTTTTTTTTTTATGAAAAAAAAATCTTTTCCCCATCATAAGACACCAAAAGCATGAAATTTGATGGAAAAACTTAGGGAATTAGCTTTAAGTTAGGGTCTCGACGTGTTTATGCATCGGAATTTTTCCCCCTTTGACCCTATTTTCAGCCAATTCAGTGTACTAGTTGACAAAAATCATACCTATTTTGCTAATACCCCTTTTTTCTATCGAATTGGGACAAAAACCCCCCATTTACCAATTTCAACTATTCCAAAACAGTGGTGAATTTTAGCAAATTTTTCCAAATTTTACCAAAAATTTCAAAAGATGCCAAATTTCCAAATAGGGTCCAGAGTAAACAAGAAAGAATAAAGGGACTAAATTAACTTTCCTTGTTCTTAGTCACATCCCATGCCCCCTTACTTCTTTGCTTTCCATTTTGAATTTTTATATCCAAAAAATAGATTTTCTGTTATGCGACTACTGCTTAGTGTAAAAGGGATAAATAAAACGCGCACTTGTGAAAGAATATTTGCTTGCCCTTGACGTGTATTGGGCGCTTTGCATGATTTGTTTACTTTTTAATTTTGTAAAAATTGAACTTTTGACTTTGGCTCAATTCAAGGTACTTTTTATTTTAAAACCAGTCAAAGTTTTAATTTCTTATTGTCTTCCATTTTCAAATGGGCCAGGAAAACTAAATACAACAAAAAACCATACAAAAAATACGTAAAGTCGGTTTTTATCCCCAAAAAAATGGTCAAAATTTTTTTTTTTTTCATTTCGCATGTGTGCTGCGGATTTTTTTTTTACGGCACACTGACCCTTTTAACCATTCTTTCATTGTAGGGCCCACCGCTTTCTTCCAGATTTGAAGGCGCTAGAATTTATGAGTACTAGTACGTCAAGGACCTGGCACGAAACAAAAGTACGGCCGAAACCCCGAAAGGGTTTTGCAGAAGAAAGGAAAACTAAAAAAAAGGGAAAAATAGGAAAGGAGAAAAATATAAGGGTGGTGGAAGAAACATCACTTAAGTCAAAGTGTTCTGAAGTTTTTGGCATTTGAATGTAATGGAGAAACATTTTACGAGCAAAAAGGGGCAAAAAATTCATCAAGGAAAAAGGGATAGGGGATGTTTCAACCAGACGTGACTGAAGGTGTGTTGGGAGACAGTTTTAAAAGATGACCATCCATAGGATGACTGATCTCAACATGCAAAAAAAGCACTACTGGGTTGGCAAGTCTAACACTTCCTTTGTGTCCTAGGTCTGTCGAGCGTCATTTCTCCAAAGTTAAAGCACCAGTTTCTCCACGCATGACGAGGAGAAAAAGGGGGCAGGAAATAAATAGCAAGAGTGGGTTAAACTAGATTACTGCAAAAAAGGGGATAGTTTAATTAAAATAAGTTTGTGTTAAGGGAAAGGGAAGGTGTTAGAGATTAGAAAGATGAAAAAATAGGAAAGGAGGAAACAAGAGATTTCACGATTTGTTTTGGGGGGAGAAAAAAGTCTATTTAGACGGTAAGGGAAAATTTATGAAATCGAAGGGTAGCCAAAAACGGAGAAAGAATTTTGAAAAGTGAAAAATTTCCGATTCAAGGAACTGGGTCACAAAAGCAAGGACAGAGAAAAAAGAAAAAGAAAACCTTTTTTTGGCAAAGGAACGTTAAAAATAAGGGGAATTTACATACCCCTACATTGGGTTGCGAAAAAAAAAGGAAAAAAAAAAAATCTAGCCGAGGGGGTTGGGCTTACATCAAGGGAAGGGAAAAAAAGGGTTAGTCTTCTTCGCATTAACCTTTCGGGTCGGTCCCGTTGTATCAGCTTTGAAGCCAGTGTCGGCCCCCGTAAACACCATGGTGGGTTTCTCGGAAAGTGTGAAGGAAAATTTTGGGCCTAGATATGGAATGGTCTATATATTTCGCCATATAAACAAACCTTTCAGCTGCAGTGCGTGGAAAAAAAACCCAAAA